CTTAGTTGCAGAGTGGAGATTTACAATCTCATTCACTGAGGTCTATCTTTTTCTATCAGGGGAATAGCTATTGCAGCCATTCCTACCATATCTGATTTACCTGCCTTAATATAGCAGAGGAGAGGTTCTTGTGGCAATGTATAAACTGTCTCCATAGGGAACCTTCTTCTGCCCTAATATGGCTTGTGTGGGCCTCCTGATCAACATACAACAATAATATGATACAAGTTCCTACAAGGAGTACCTGAATTCTCTGATGCTCAGAGTGTGAACTTTTCCTAATTGTTTCAATGAGAGTCAGTCCTGAACTCCCCTATATCTGGTCTGTTCACATAAAAACTATTTGTTCCCCAGTGTAAAACAATCAATCACTTTAATATTGGATGGAAAGGCAAACAGAGACAAATTCAAAGATGTTTGGGTTGGGTGGGCTGTTTTTTTCTTTTTCCAATTAACCTTTTGCCTATCTAAGGCTGTTTCCAAGGAGATAGCGGAATTGTTCAACCCCTTGACTAATGGTTCTCAGCTGACACAGGAAATGCTCTCCCCAGAGAGGGGCCTGACAGCCACATAATACCAATGTACTCAGCAGTGCAGTACCTTAAATTTAGTGTGTGTGTGTGAGGGGGGGGGGGGGGTTCACAGATTTACTCAGCTGTAGCAGCTGCTTCATTTACCAAATGAGGTTCTGCCATACAATTCTCAGCAGTACGGCCTCTGTATGCAGTCTGTAGCTAAGCGTTATAAATTACTTGGACAAAGGAAAGAAGACAGGCTTTTTGCGTGGTAGCCCTGTAGCAAGCCTTGCACTCCAAAACCTACTGTGTGACAGACCCAGCTTTGACTCACAAACCTGTAATAGGAACTACTAGTGTCTGGCAGGACTGAGGAGGGATTCCATTTAGCCACTAGCATGGGAGCACGTGGTGCCTTTGTTTCTTTACAGTACTTTCTGCGTCCTAAAGAAGTGTAACATGATGGATCCAGAAAGGGACCTATTAAGCCCTTCTCAGCCAGAAATACCCTCCTGACAACTTGAGATTCATAGGCATGAATTTAGACTGCACGTTCTTGGAGGCAGGTTCTTTGCCCTGTTTGTACAGAGCCTAGCACAATGGTATCCTAGGAACTACAGTAACAATAGTCACCCAGGCTTCCTTTACAATGCATGAGGAGCGACAGGCACCCAAGAATAGGATCCACTAACGCCAGCATACTAGATAGGGAACTGCTTAAGTTAGCCAATAGGAGATGCCAACCTAAGGCTGTATCCTAAGCCCCATCTCTCTCATAGAGGTAGGCACCTATGTACAGGCTACAGGCAGATGCCTTTCTCTGTTTATGATCCAAAGCTAAGAACACTTCCCCTAGAGCAACTAGACTATTTGGAGGGAGGCAGCAGTGGAAATACCCAGAAAGGGTAGGCAAATTTTAGAGCAAACACAGATGGCCAGTGAGTTTAAGCCCTGGGAAGAGGGTTAGATCAGTGTTTCTCAACCAGTGGTATGGTACCCCTAGGGGTACTTGAGAGAAATCTGAAGGGTATGTCAAAACAACTGAATTTTGGAAAAAAACTGAATTTTTGTTTTAAGTTTTACCATGCTTTATTATTTTTGTAATTTTTACACCCAAAAATTTCATCATCCGCCTGGCTATGATTAAGTTGTTTAAACAAATGTATTGCAATGGTAGAAAAAAAATGTGTGTCTGCAAATTGTAGGTACTGGGTACTTTTTTTTAAAGGGGGTATTTTATTAAAAAAAAAAAAAGGCTGAGAAACACTGGGTTAGATGGCAGTTGAATGGAGCAGGGGAATTGTGTCTAAATCCCTTTGGGGACATGATCCAAGTTGTCTAGTCACTTGAGGTCACAGGGAGCTTTTCAGAGGGACAAGCAGGCACACTGAACCAAACACCCGCAGGATCTCGTTGCTGTCCCGGTGGCCAGGAGCAGTGGCGGAGAGCCGGGTCCTTTCCTCGGGCGTGTGGTGCCACTTAGTGGAAAGACGAGGGAAGAACGGGGCGTTTCATGCCTTGCGCCAGGCAAGGGCGAGCCGGGGGAGCCTGCCCGCCCAGCACCGCGGGGTTCAGCCTGGCGTTGGATGGGGCTGCCCAGACCTCCCGGTGACTCCTCGCCCCGCAGGGCGGGGAGAGCTGTGTTTGTGCGGCAGCCTCTACAAGACGCCCCTGGACACGGGTCCCCCGC